GCAATCCTACTTCCGTAGTGATACTGCCTCGAAAACCCAAGGAGGGGTCGCTATGAGTCGGGGCCGACTCGACGGCACATAACAACAACAACAACATATATGTAATAAAACATTCCTCACATGTACAGTTCAGAGACATTGCGTTCATCATGTTGTGTAATCATCACCATTATCCCTTTTCCTGCTCTTTTCATCACTCATCAAAGCAGCTCAGCATTTCCTAAGCAATAAATCTCTCATTTGTCCTCCCTCCCACCTGTTCCTGGTGACCACTGATGAACTTAGGTCTGTAAACACTAGGAAGTAGTACTTTCCAAGGCCAGGTCTTTTCACTCTGCCTTCTTTGATCCCCTTCCATGGAAGCAGAATGCTGTGTCTTGGTGCATATGAAGTAGGCAGAGAACAGCATGAGGTATCAGGTGCCTGAAAGGTTGGGGACAAGGGAACCAGTGTTACTGCTACTCTGCACTTTTTGGCTCTGTGACCTTGGGAAAGAAGTTAATCCCTATGAGACTTAGTTTCTCCATTTGACAGTAATACTAACCACAGTTTATATAAACACTAGATTGGTTGCATCATTTGTTTTATTATTTATTAATGTATTTATTTTTTAATTGTTTGAGCTGATACTAAAACACTATTCCTGCTGTAATCATAAATTTTCATGCCAGAGAACTAAACACACGTAATATATAGGGTCACTAATGAGTGGTTTTAGAAACCCTTTTCAGCAGCATAGTGATCTGTAATGGGCTCTTAGGGCACAGAGAGGTAATGTGGATCTCAGAAGGGGTTAATAGACTGTTGGAAATATCCATGCATTAAAGGGAGCACAGAGCCCTATAACTTCCATTAGTAATCCTAATGTCTACTGCTTTCCCTCTCAATCTAGTCTATTTTTGTTCAGACTGAAATGTGTAGATTAAGCAGCTTTGTATTTATTTTCATTTTACTATTAAATTTGCATCAGCTGCTTTGAGGCTGTTTAAGCAAAACACTGATTTAATTGCTCTGTTTATTATTTCTTCTTGTTTTAGGCAGTGGGCCACACCATGACCGTTGCTGTACTTATAATGAAAACAACTTGGTGGATGGTGTTTATTGTCTCCCAATTGGACACTGGATTGAGGCCACTGGGCACACTAATGAGATGAAGCACACAACAGACTTCTATTTTAATATTGCAGGTCACCAAGCCATGCATTATTCAAGGTAAAAATAGTGCTGTGTTTATAAGCGTAGAAGTAGGACAAAAGGTAGTGTTAGGACATGGAAATATTTACTGTGTTCAAAACAGCCGTGTCTCTTGATGGAGGGGTATATAGGCCTGCATTACTTTGAGGAGATAAAGCATTGTGAGTCAGTGTGTGAACTTCTCAGATTCTAGGTGTGAAGGATCCTTTTTATAGATTAAAAAAAAAAAATACATACCCTGGCATCAACATATTTTGACTAGACAGTAGTTTATCAATCCTTTTACTCATATAGTAGATTAAAAATAAAAGAAAATAATACTAAGATATCCTAGATCAGTATTTGTATCCTTTCTGCTGCTGTCCAACAGTGAAGCCAACATTGGTGTTTCCTTGGAAAATCTTATTCATATAAATAAGTATGTGTGAAAATCTGGATGAACTGGATTGGGTGTCAGCATTTGCATTTGACTGCTAACCAGAAGGCTGGTGGTTCAAAACCAGTCTCGGAAGGAAGGTTGCGCAATCTACATCTGACTGATACTGCCTGGGAAACCCAAGGAGGGGTTGCTATGAGTCGGGTCCGACTTGATGGCAGTGAATTTTTTAAATTTGTTTTATTAGTTATTAATGTATTTATTTTTATTTGTTTATATAATAATTATACCAGAAATATTAAAGTTTAAAAAAGTAAGTTTCTCTATACTTTCCCCCATTCCCACTTGTCATAAGTAGTTATTTTTAAGTATTTATGATTAGCTTTTCTGGAAGTTAACTCCAGATTTTAAATAATACCTGTATACTTTATTTATGTATCAATTAAAAGTATCTGTTGATTCCTTGCTATCACATGTGTGAAATTTACTTCATTTATACTTGTGTGTGTTTCCTCAGAAGCCTGGAGATTCTTAGTCATTGGCTTATTTTCAAGTATTGCAGTTAAAAGCTGATTAGAAGGCCTGAGGTGGGCTTGCTGATGGAGCTTCACTGTAGGGTAATCTAGCTGCACATTTAGATGGGAACCTGTGGTATGAGTATCTTTAGATCTGTTCTGGTTCCCTAGACAAGACTTGATCAAACTTTTGCTTGGAGGGTGAAGCTGTGGCTGCCAGTCCTTGGTTAGGGACATAATTATGGACGTTTGCTGAGGGAATCTCAGCCTCTAATATACACAGCACATTTAATTCCTCTGCTTAATTTCCTGTCCATTCCTGGTGTCCCCCAACCCAGAGATTTACTCAGCCTTCCGTTGGGAATAACCACCAGTGTTTTGTCAGGGTTGGGGAGGGAAAGCTGCTCAGCTGAACAGAATGGGATCCAGGAGGAGAATTAGGTCTGGGGACCTGTCTGGGGGTTTGGGGACTTGTCTGGGGGGGGTGTCTGGACATCTGGGGATCTGCTCATGCTTAAACAGTCTTTCAATAGTCCTCTTTCTTGTAGCATTTCTTTACCTACATCCAGAAGTACCTGCTGCTACCAGTTTTTGAATGGGTTTGAGATTCTGTAGGGTAATTCCAGTTGGTTTTCAGCTTTCCCTACTGCTGGTTTTAGGACTTAGCTTTTTAATTCTGCTAAATTATAAAGCACTCAACCAATTGCTTTCTTGTTTTTTCTGGTATTGTTAGGTGCCATTGAGTTAGTTCTGATTCATAGTGACCTTATTGTACAGCAGGAGAAAATACTGCCCAACCCTGTGCCACCCTCACAATCATTGGTATGTACGAACACGTTGCAGTCATGGTGTCAATCCATTCGGTAAAGGTCTTCTTCCTCTTTTTCACTGACCCTCTGCTTTTCCAAGCATGATATCCTTCTTGAGGGACTGGTCCCTCCTAATAACATGTCCTACATGAAAAGAAAGGTCTCAGGGTGGTGCAGACAGTATTCACTTAGGTGGTGACCAAAAGGTTGGAGGTCCAAACCCACTCAGCAATACCGCAGAAGATCCAGGCCTGGCGATTTCCTTCTGTAAAGATTACAGCCAACCCACTCCATAGTCAACAGAGACTCTCCAAATAAACACCTTAACAAAGTACGCAAGACAAAGTTTCATCATCCTTGCTTCTAAGAAGCATTCTGGCCGCACTTCTTCCAAGACAGATTTGTTTGTTCTTATGGCAGTCCGTGGTATATTTAATATTGTTTGCCAATAACAAATTCAAATGCATCAATTCTTCTTTGGTCTTATTCATTATGCAGCTTCACATGCATATGTTGTTGTTGTTGTTATGTGCCGTTGAGTTGGACCCAACTC